GGTCAGCTGACTGGAAGGGGGCAGGGCCTGGCCTACATAAACAGCCTAGGCTGAGGCCAAGCAGGCAGTTCCCTGCTAACATCCAAGGGAGAAGGAGCTCTGCTAGAGGCCCCAGGGAGGGCGCACAGGCAAGAGGCCCCAGGGAGGGTGCTCGCTTAAGACCCAAGAGGGGAATTTGGGGGCTTGGCACGGCTACGGTCACCTGAGTCCCGATTGTGAGACAGGGCCCCAGTGCAGGCAGGATTGCGAGGGAAAGCCCCAATCGTGAAAGCAGATTGCAAGGGAAGGCCCCAGTCGCGAGAGCAGGCCCCAGGGAGGGCACGGCCTAGAGAGGCCACAGAGCATCCGCGGAGAACGAGAGCAACTGCGAGGAAGGAGACCCCAGGGAGCCCGTGAGGGCGCGGGCCAGGGTGAGATAACCCCAGGGGACCCGTGAGGGCACAGATAGAAGTGGACTAGACAACGTCCGGTACATCTGCGAGGCTTGGGGTGTGGTATCAGGGGTGGTAGGAGCCACGCATAGCCCCTAAGGCTTTAGTGCACGGAGTCATATCAGACAGGGCACCGACTTGGATACATCAGGGGTACCAAGTCCAAGGGGGCAAAAAGGCAGCCTCCCATAACATTAATAACATCAAAGACGTGGCGGGCGAGAACAAGGGTGCATTGACACCAACTTGGCATGGTAGGGGGCACTAGGAGACATCACGGCCGCTCCTAGGACGCCGCTCGGTGACAGGAATGAATGTGTAACTGAATGTGTCAACACCAACTGCCCCAATGCTGAACACATCAGCACTGACTGCACTTAATACTTATGTACAGTATAAGCTAATTGTGGAGATAACAATGGCAGATGTACACTTATGATAGCTGAAACTGAGGCTGCTGCTGAATGAAGTCATTTATGCAGGGCTGAAAAGGAGAACTCTGATGTGTTTTTATGTGTTCTTTCTGTATGAGCAACAGATGGACAGCTATTTGCTTGGAAGAACAATTCTTACTAGAAAGGAGGAGGATATTTTTTTCTCTTTTACTTTTTGGAGCAGTTTTTTATCAGGAGTTTTACTTTTGATGAGCCATGTTTTTCACACGCAGACCAGGAAAAACACAATTGATATATAAAATACTGTTTCCTTGCCCCTCACTTCAGTAAAAAATGAAACAATCATCCTATCAAGACTGCTATGAGCTGCCATCTTGTTGGCAGGCTTTAAGTTTGTTGATAACAGATGGGGAGAGAAAAAAATGCCTTCAGTCCTGGAAAAGGGTGGCTGTGCTAACAAAACTTACAGTCACAATGTCATGAAGTTTTAATATGGAAAGTAGCTCTTACCCCACAACCACCATGAACAAAAGCCCTGTTTCTCACCACTTTTAGAGTCTTTCAAACAACCTGGATTGTAACTTGCCAAAACAGTGTGCCTCATATGTGGTCGTATAACTTGGGGTGGGCAAGTGGGGAACCAACCAGAATGGTGCTCCCACCCTAGGCGAGTCTGCACCTTGGAAGCAGGAGTAGCCCCAAAGCCTTATTGTTGCACAGACACTTCATTGCTGCTGTGGAAGCAAAATTCAGAGTGGGCAGATCATGCTGTGGTTGCGGCTGCCACAGCTGGAGACAGTTTGTGGAGCAGGTAAGACTCCTGCCACCTCATTCTCAGAACCTTTTCCCCTGCAGCACCCAGCAGCACTCTCTGCCCCCCCACCACACTTGTTATGTCTCTGTTCATATGTACCATACTCCAGCTTTATCAAGCAACTATAATTTTCAATAGAGCTGTCTCATTCTAGCACCAATGGCAGTAAATACTGAACTTTAAAAGGGGAACTCCTTTCCTACTCTAAACTACTCCTTTCTCCTAGTCATAATTTTCTCCCAAACCTTCCTTCTTCACAAATTTCACTCATAAATATAGGAAGATTACAATTTAAAAAAATATCTTTGCTTTGCTTTAAGTCATGTCATATTTAGAAACAATTCTTGCATCTGTAAGTTAAAAGATCTTGTATCAGCTATTACATAAAACTCACTGACCACACTAGTAATGTTGACAAAAAGAAAGCTATGCATTGTTACTGTATAAATTTTACAATCTGGTAGAAAAATTCTATCTTCTAAGTTTTAGAGTCAACTACTATCATTCTTGATAGGTGTAATAAAAGTAATGAAAAGGACACTGTCTTGTGATCTGTTCTTGTGCTGCATTATTAGAAAAAGTAAACAGAAAATCACAATTCTTATAATGATTCATAATCCAAGTCAAACTTCATTTCAACCAGCAGTAACAGGTCATCAGTACAGATGCTGCATAGAAATCAGCATCTATACATCTGTTCCCCTATTCTCATCTATGAAAAAGTTTTTAATAGCTTCACCTTTCATTTGATGGTCTTTTCAAATACATCAGTGAGACTTGCAATAGCCTAACTAAAATCAGAATTTATAAGAAAGTAAAGGAAAGCAAGAGGCTTTACCATGTAATTTGTCTTAAAGCAAAGGATAGGATAAGATATGATCTTCTCCCTGACCTCATATTTAAAAAAAACGCTCAAAAACCAAATTTAACACCTGAGATAAAATTGTGGAGCAGAAAAGACTGGTCAATTTCTTCTATTACTTAAAAACAATAAAGCTGGCTATAGTCTTCTGACATATAAAAATTATTGCAATCTACTTTTAGCTTACTAATTACAAGTCATATCAGAATAATATACAAGCATTTTGCTATTTGAAAAAGTACTAATCATCTGAAAGCTGAATTAAAAAGTAGTTTTGTTACAATAATTATATAGCAATATGGCAAAAAATAAACTAATACTTGTGTTAATTCAACAACAAAGGAAAAATGCATCAAATATATACCTTGTAGTTCCCAGACTTTCAGAAGTTCCATGTTATTAGTACTTTCAATTAGGTACTTTCTGAACTCCTTCAAATTATCCTTAAGATTAGGATACATCTGTCTGGACCAAAATAGCAAAGAAAACAAATTAATCACTTACAAAATCATGTACAGATAAATTATGTTTCTATGCAACAAACAAGGTAGCAAACAAGAATGTAAGAGTTTTAATCCAGTTCTCTAAAAGAGATTAGGATGTGTGCATGGCAATTTAAAGGCTTCACTCTGATAATTAGTAAATATAAGCAACTTATATTGACCATTTCAAGGAAGTCTACAGTTGCTTAGCAAGTATTTGGATCAGGCTTATTATTAATGTTGATGGAATAAATGACTACAAACAGCTCTCATGAGTTCGACATCAAAACAGTAAATAGTTAAATAAGGTTGAAAATGTCATGTACAAAGATCTCAGCCTGCTAAGGTCCTGCTAGAAAACCCCCCACAGCTAAAGCGTTTGAAATGTAACTTACAAAGAAGGATTTCATTTTACCAATAACCCCCATATTCCTTTTCCTTTTGAGTAAAAAGTCTTTATGCCCAACTCCCTTGCATCTGACAATCACATAGATAATATCAAAGATGGTATTAATTGTCCCTTTTTGTGGAAATAAGTTAGTTCAAGTAGACTGGAGGCATTTGTGCTGTTGAAGCTGTTAAAGCTGTGTTCCTTCTTCATTGGATAACACACTGTAAAGGTTCATGTAAACTAAAACAGGTTCTAAAATAATTGTTTGTTCATTAGTTATACATAAACTCTTAAAGGTATTTTAGGCTAGAGGCTTCCCTAATTATTGGGTGTCACAGCAAGAAAAGTGGCTTTACTTTAGGCTTGCGTGAAATGGCAGTTGCTTTTGTAAGGTCTATAAAATCCATATGAGCAGCATGAAAGTTTTGCAAAACAAAGATAAGCAGGAAAATGTTCTGGTGAAATCCGTCTGGTGCTGTCCCAGGTTGAGCCCAACTGCCTGTGCAGCCACTCCCCATAGCCCCACCTGGAGCGGGGCAGGAACAGCTCTGGAGCTCCCCTGCCCCCTGCCCCTGGGACAGAACTGTATGTGGGGGAGCAGGGACAGAAGGGGAATGGGGTGTACCAATGAGCACTGAAGGAAAAGGAGGGGGTACCAAGAATGAGGCATTCTTACCTGATTTGGGGATTTTAAAAAAGTCTCCAACAGCTGTTCCTACCATGTGGTGTGCCCATCCCACTGGAACCAGGGGAAACTGGGAGGCAGGATGCAGCCACCCTTGCAGCATCAAGTCACTGCTCCCTCACTCCTCTTTACAAAATCCTGGATTCTCCTGGGTCCTATGAGGTATGGGCATATTCTGATGGTTTTACTGATAATTGTACTATCTTTGACCTGAAAGTTTAGATCCATATAGGATTGGAATCAGTCTTGAGGAAGGTGTGCTCTGGTCAACAGGATATAGGGTGACCCTAATAAATTCCAGGAAAGGACCCAAAGGATTAAATGCACTAAAGTATCCTTTCTATCAGAGAGCATTTTGTCCAGGACTTATAATACTATCTTCAATCTAAACATCTATGTCAATGCATGTTAAAACAGATATTTTTAGTTAAATGGAAACTGCCAACAGGATTAAACAAAGACAAGCCAGTATTTAAAGGGCTAGATTTGAATTACAGCCTGGAATTCTGAATTCATATGACATGTAGAGCTAAAGTCTGGATAATCCTGGTTTAGGTAGCTAAACATGAAATGTTCTTAATTTTTTAAAAAGATGTAGGGAACAAGAAAGTGAGTGGTTAGATTTCCACAATGATTATAGGCAGGTGTTAACTCAAATTTGATGTCTTCTAGAAGCGTGAGCAGACTATACTCAGCTAATTTATGTTCTGGAAGAAACATGACGCCTTTTAAATATTTTAAATTTAACCTCAGACAATTTTAGTTTAGTACTAGAAATGTTCAGAACTGCTAGGCTTTTGAAATAGTAAATGAAGAGTCCACTGTTAAAAAAACAAAACAGAATATATTATAAAAAAAAGAAAAAGAAAATCCACATTCTGATGCGTCTCCAACTGTGGTTTCTTAACAGCTCAATGTATGGGCTGTTTCCTGACTCTGTGGCACCAGAGGTAACCTGCCACCCAGACTCACCTCTCCTACCTTTCTTGAGGGAAGATTCATTGTCTTCCTTCCACCCCAGTGAAACATACAAGGGACAATCCTCAAAAAATGCAGTGAGAGCAATCTAGGTCACCCAGCACAAGCTGAACCTTCCAGGTTCTTATCATCATGGCACAGTAGATGGCTGGCCACTAAGGGTGCCACATAGGGTCATGTGGTCCATTGTGGTGTGGAAGAGTAGATGACTTTCTGTGACACCCTTAAGAACCAATCCCCATAACTTTCAAGAGTGGTGTACTAGGAAGTATGCTTTGCATTATTCCAATTACAGATCCATGTGTACTCAGTCTATGCACAAGAGACTGCAATCTTTCAATTAGCACTACGCACTGAGGACATGCCCTGGGGGTCACTGCACTTTCCCTCACTGAAGGCACAAAGGGCTTAGTAATTCAGATAATTTACAGTCCTGAACTGTGAATCAAAGACTCCAATGGTACCAAAGCAAAGTCACTGTTGACAGTCTTTTCAATATTTCTGGTTGAGGTTCCTGTTTTTCCCTTGTGACTGATGAGCTGAATTTCAGTGTTCAAGTTCCAGATGGTGATGTCACAGAAGCAGAAGGGATTTGGATCAACATGCAAATGCAGCCACTGTCAGTTGCATCTATTCATATATATTTTTAACTTCCATTTGAATCATGGAGGATTGTCTAGAGCCTGCAGGACATTTCATACATGCAAGGATGTCTTTGGGCATCCTAAGCAGAGAGAGGTAGTAAGCCATATTAGTCAGAAATCACGCAGAAGGCAAGGTAGATTTAAACCTTATAGACCAGGGGGTATAAACTTGGGGTTCGCATACCACCAAGGGTCCTTGGAAAGGGACTAGGGGGTACACGTGGGTGGGCAGGGATGGAGTGCCACCACCCACCATCTCACACCACCACCTCCCAGGAGCAGGGCCGGGGGGGCAAGAAAAGCAGCCTTCCTCTGTGGGCCAGACAGGTGCTGCCTGGCTGGCTGGAGGCTGGGTGGGGAGCTTACACCACCACCCCGCACCGCCAACATATGCAAGCTCTCCTTTCACCCCACTCCACATCCAGCCACTGCCACCCCCTCCCCATTCTGCCAGAAGCGTACCCAGAAGGGGTACACTCCTTAAAAAAGGTTGAAAACCCCAGTTATAGACAAACCAAATCAGATATTCATAACACAAGCTTTCATAAGTAGCATGAAGTAAGCCTGAAGTATGAAAGCTCATACTATGCACCTCTGATTTTGTTAGTCTGTAAGGTGCAAATATACCCTGGTTTCAGTCATCCTGGCCACCCGTGGAAATTCATATTTCATTTGGTAGTGTTTACCAAAAACAGTTCTTTTTGTCATATTGACTTGCAATGCAGAAATGCTTCCATGTATTAGAAGACGTTTGCGCCATTTTTGCTGAGGACAGAAGAAAATAGCTTCTCCTTGCACATTGTAGTCACCTTCTTCTGAGATCACAAGACCAGGATTCAGATGCAGGATTCATCCCTCCATTCCAGCCCCTTAAGATTCTCCTGCAAGACCCTACAGCCAGAGACCTCTTGATTTCCAACCCTGTGACTACAAAAGTACGCATAAAACCTCTGCAAGATGATGGATACAGAGAAAGATGAGATGACATCTCAGGACCAAATGAGCAGCTAAGCAATGCCATGTAGAAGGGCAGATTCTTGACAAGGCAGACCCACACGGGAGTGCCACCACAGATAGGGCCACAGTAACTTCTTGAAAAGCAATACAAACAGAACTAAAGATCCCTGGGCACTGCTGTGACAATCTGACTACATTAGGCAAGACAGTAAAAGATGGAGGCTCAGAATTACAAAGGTACAGATGTTATTAGCAGCTTTAAGTTGTATTGTAACTGACATCTCAACAAGAATTACTACAAACAAGTTCACACTTTCCAAAAAATAAATGTGTCACCAGATGAACAAAATAAGTCACACGGGGAGCAGAACACATGGCCAAAATTTGTGATTCATCTCACATAACTGGAAGCACTATTGATTTATCCCACAGTAGCATCTCTACCAGCTGCAGATATCAAATGAGCTGATCAAAAAAGAGCTGGGTGCACCCTATGTTCCTCTGCATGGCTCCATAAGTCTGTTAATCACCTCAGGGATCAACTATTCGTAATCTGACATATGGGTTCAACTACTTGTATTTTGAAAGTTCTCATTCTACTGCAAATAAATTGAAAATGAAAGACCAGTTTCCCTAATGTTTTATTACCGTAACAACTGTATATTTTTAGTTCTATTGCTATTCTAATTTTTGCCCAACTTCAGGAATAAGATTTGATCATAATTCCAAGAGTATTTCTTCTGAAAGTTGATCCAACTGCATTTTTATTTTTTCTTCTACATAAGCCAAGAGTATGTGAATGTTACCACCAGAGGAAAGAATTGATCTTGGCACTTTTTAAAGTTAGAGTAAAGTGCACATAAAAGACTTAAATTAGAATTTTAACCAATTTTGAGCTAATTGCTAAAACAGATTTTTAGATCAGATGTCTTTTAAACTTCTATTCAAAACAACTCCAGAAATCAATTAAAACTAAGGTCAACTCACCTTAGCTTACCAAAGATAAATCCTTGTACTTCATTTTCCTCATCACCTTCCTCTTCTGTTGTGTCATTTGTTGCTGAACACAAAGTGCGCACATACAACACAAAGTAAAAAAATAACTAAAAAAACTATTAAATAAAACCCTGGCATCAAAAGCAAAGTGTAAACATTCCTAGTGTGATTCCTGATAGATTCATTTCTGTTGTTTCTTATTTTGGTGGCAAAATGGCTTCCTTGACAAAACTTTGTGAGCTTTCAGTTTTACTCTTAATTTAAAAAAAAAATAATTTTAAAGTACTTACATCTTCAATGTTTAAAAAAAAAAGTTAAAAATAATATAATTAATAGCCTCACTTCACAAAATGGGTTTTCATTAGTTTGAGTTGCTGCTAGTAATAAATAATGCTGGGTTCTATGCTTTAAAAATATGTGACTTCTCCTTCCTATCTTGAATTTCTCCTAATTTACTTTATTACTCACAAATAATTGATAATACTATCTCCATTATTTTTAGGCCTGCTCCACACTATAAACTTTCCAGTCTTGACAGCATATCAGCAATAGATTCAGCTATGCACAGTTGAATAGCAAGAGTTAAATCATGATAAAACAATATTCAGCACTCTTTCAGAAAACTCTAATTAAAAGCCTCAATTTTAACAATGCTATTGTATATGGGTCATTCCCTCTATATAGTTGCAGCTGGGGGTTCGCGTACCACCAGGGGTACTTGGAAAGGGACTAGGGGGTACACGTGGGTGGGCAGGGATGGAGTGCCACCACCCACCATCTCACACCACCACCTCCCAGGAGCAGGGCCAGGGGGGCAAGAGAAGCAGCCTTCCTCTGTGGGCCAGACAGGTGCTGCCTGGCTGGCTGGAGGCTGGGTGGGGAGCTTACACCACCACCCCGCACCGCCAACATATGCAAGCTCTCCTTTCACCCCACTCCACATCCAGCCACTGCCACCCCCTCCCCATTCTGCCAGAAGCGTACCCAGAAGGGGTACACTCCTTAAAAAAGGTTGAAAACCCCAGTTATAGACAAACCAAATCAGATATTCATAACACAAGCTTTCATAAGTAGCATGAAGTAAGCCTGAAGTATGAAAGCTCATACTATGCACCTCTGATTTTGATTATATATATAATGAGTAATAATTTTTCTAGGCCTCTTATAGTCATACTTCTAGAAGTCTATGTAAGAGCTTTTATGATTCTAGGATTTTCAGCCATTACCTCTAACAAGCTAACAAGGTGATTGTCTTAGCTGGAGGGCCACTTAATAAGTTTTAGAGACCTGTCGAGGCCCACATCCTTCTCTCTCTCACTTCGCTCCTCTGTTTCTCTCTCCTCTTTTTTCTCTTTCTGTTTCTCTCTTTTCACTCTTCTCTTCTCTCTGTCTCTCTTTCCTCTTTTCTTCTCTGTCTCACTTCTCTTTTCTCTTCTCTGCTCTCTCCCTTTTCTGTCTTCTCTTTTTTCTCTTCTCCGCTCTTCTCTCTCTCTCTCTCTCTTTTCTCTGTTCCTTCCTTCTCTCTTCTCAGTGTCTCTCTCCCCCTCTTTCTCTCCCTCCCCTTCTGTCCAGAGCCTGGCTGAAGCTGTAGTTTGCCAGGAGCCTCAAAGCTCAGCTGTGGACCCAGGAAGGAGCTTTGCTGCACCAGGCAGGTGACAGTGTCAGAACCTGCTGGCAGTGTCACAGCTAATGCCCGGTGTGGCAGAAGCTCCTGCCTGCATCAACAGCTGAGCATCGGAGCTCTTGGAGAACTACAGCTCTCGCCGGGTGGGGAGACAGAGACAGAGACACCACTGTCTGCCCCGTGTGGCAAAAGCTCCTGCCTGGGTCCATGGCTAATACTGCTAGCAGGTTCCAGGTCGGGGCTCCGGATGGGATATTCCACCACAGCAGCAGGGTGGCGGGTCAGCTGTGGATGCAACTAGCAGGTTCTGCATCAAGGCTCCTGAACCTGCCCACAGCATCCACAGCTGATGCTGCTGCCCACCTGCTGGGGAGGAAGCCACGCCTGGGTCCACAGTTCATGTCTGATGCTGTTGGGTGGAAGCAGTTCCACCTCCCCAGCACCACACAGTAGCTCCAGCCACCAGCCACCCATGGGCCAGATCCAATAAGTGGGCAGTTGTCTACCTGCGGGCCAAATCAAATCTGTTGGTGAATCAGATCCAGTCCACAGGCTATATTTTGCCCACCCCTGCTAAAGACACTTAACACACCTGTGGGTAAGGCAATCCGTCATTTAAACAGAACAAATAGCAATACACTAACTCCTTGATTATCCAAAACCAGAAATCCTGAACCAGGGTGTCATGGCAACCTGGGGTGCCACAAAACATCTTTTTAAGAGTGGTGCTGGGTGCCTGGGCAACAATAGCACCATTAGGTGTATAAACACTTACACATGATTCACAAGATAAACCCAGAGATTTCAAATAGGAATCCATGGTATCAAAATAATTCTGACCTGTTGTGGTTTTTCTGAATTTTCTGCAACAAAATTGATCTATTATTTTCTGTAGTCAATAAATGAGTTAAAACTAAAAGCTAGCATTTTCCAAGGCATTTCATTAAACCATGATCTTAATGGGGAGGGGGAGGGGGCATGAGTCTAACAAGGAGTGCTACGAGTCTGAAAAGGTTGAGAACCACTGTCCTAATTTCATTAGCACCTGCCAAAAATACATTAAAAAAACTGGTAGCCCTGGAGTTATTTTGTAACCATGAGGGTCCAGGGAAAATGCAAGCAGCAAGGACTTTTGATGGCAATACCTTTTGTTGGACCAACTGTATAGTTGGGAGGGACATAAACAAGTTTTCAGGTATCACTCTACCCTTTCTCAGGTCTCCTCCAGTATGGCATTACCTAAAAACTTGTCTATGTCCCTCTTAACTATACAGTTGGTCTATTAGAAGACATCACCCACAAAAATCCTTGCCTCTTGCATTTCATTCTCACTAAAATTGCTTGGATAAGTAAAGCCATAGCTTCTTTTTAAGAATCATACATGCTACCATAATATATAATGTAAAATCATACCAATGCTTAGTAGTGTATATATTAAAAATAAAAGTTGAGAACAACTTATCAATTTCAGTACTGTATTAAATAAAGCTTAAAAGGAGAACAGTGTATTATACTTTATCAACAGTTACAAGTTAGTAAAACAAAGTTGCCATTTAGATAATAAAGGTTTTGTAAGCAAGGATGTACTGAAGTCATTTGCCAGACCTCACCGATATTAATATTAAAGCCTATTTAAGTCAATTTAAGCATGCCAACTAATTTAAGCAGGAACAATCTAATTTCAGTTTTTTGCATTTTATTACGGCTCATTACATTATGAGCATGCTCTCAGCCTTTGCTCTGCTGTTTGCACCTCATTAAGGCTCATTACATTCATACCAAGAACACCTTTCCTCTCACAGCAGCTTGCAAACTGACAAAATGCATCCAATTCAGGACTGCTAATAACCCAGTATTGTCAATAGTCAACACAGGGTTAATTACCCATGGCACTTGTTTTCTCAGCCTTAAAAGAAAGTTTATTTTCATTTAATCTTTTCCTCAATAACATTACAAAACACCTACCACAAGCAAGCCAAGATAACATTTTAGAAGGGTCTTTCTTAAATTTTGCTACTCTAAAGAATAAGATCTCAATACCAATCCTGGGGCAAGCACCTCTTCCTCTAGAAAAGACTAAATAAAGGGTTTTTTTCAATATGTCTTAAGTGTCATCAAATCTGGGCTCTGACAAACAAAGAAAGGAAGAGAATTCAGCAACAATGGATCCTTCTAGCAGGAATGAACTCTATTACCTCTGCTGTTCACAAATAGAAGGGTTCTGACAGTCTGAGTACTTCAAATGATCTCAGATGTTCTGATAAAAAGCAAATCTCTCCAACAGTCAAAATCCAAACAGTTTAGAGATCAGGATAAACACACCTTCAACTTTCCCCACAAACAAGCAATCAGTGGCCAGCAGCTATAGGTTTAATGTATTCTGTATGAACATAAATGATCAATGGCCTGGGGGATAGGCCTTATGAAGATCGACTTAAGGATCTGGGTTTGTTTAGTATGAGTAAAAGAAGGCTGAGGGGTAACTTGATACCTGCCTACAAATATATCAAGGGAGAACACCAGGATCTGGAAGCGCAACGTTTCAGAAAATCATCCCCTGGGAGAACAAGGACCAATGAGCACAAGTTAGTCGAGGAAAAGTTTAGGCTAGACAAGAGAAAAACTTATTTTCTGTACAGGTAACCAAAATCTGGAATGCACTTTCAGCAGAGGTAGTGCAGTTGCCATCCCTGGTGGTGCTCAAGAGGAGGCTGGACAAGCACCTTGTTGAGCTCGTTTGAGGCCATTACCTCTTGTCCATGGCAGGGGACTGGACTTGATGATCTTACAGGTCCCTTCCGGTCCTTCTTTCTATGTGTGACAGCTGAAAATTATGTCTGTGTGATAAAGGTGCTTGCTGAAGGCTCTATGAAGATTAGACCAAGTGTTTTTCTGTCATTTGTTTAGATATTAAGCTATATGTTGTTGCTAAGAGCTTAATTAAAGTTTAAGATGTAGTAAGGCCTTGTATAAAGTAGGCCTAGTAAATTCAGCTAAGCCTTGAAGTAGTAAGGCCCTGTGGCGTAGTTAAAATTAACCTTATCAAAAGAATGCAAGGCTTGTACTGCTATTGGTCAGTCTAAAGACAGTTGAATTAAAAAGAATCTGAATGGCTGTAAGTTATCAGCATAGCTCAGAAGTTATAAATTGGCTGGCACATCCAGAAATCATTCAGAAGGAAGATACATCTCTGTGAAAGGGACTAATTAGCTGTTGACCTGGATCAGTGGGCCCATGGATCTCAAGGAACCCAAGGACTGAACACCAAGGTCCTTCCCGGTACCTCTCAGACAGCGCTGACTGGGGATGCCTGATTCGCTGAGCTTTGCAGAAGACAAACATATCATACATCAGGCATCAGAGGGGACTGCCGGTAAGTTGCCGACGCGAATTATTATCGTCTGTCATTATCTGTCTTAGTATACTACATGCAGTCGTGT